TTTTAAGTTCGCCTTAAATTAATTATTTAATATCGCTTATCATCTTCATATGCTGTCTTCATCAAGACGTGTTTACCTATGGCGACGCGAGATTCCGTTATGTCCTTTAATTTAGGAAACTTGCCTTGTCGGTTGCCTCGGCTTGGCCTCGTATTAACACGTGCGCTTACATTTAAACGTGAGATGTTCATTGCTCGTAAGACAAGACAAGATGCAGCACATGGCGTCATCAAAACGTCATAAAACAGATGCAGACAGCAGGTTAATTAATATTAGAAGTCAAGGAACGCTTAATTAAACACGAAATTTAAATTATTACAGCCATCAGGGAATGCAGTGTTACTCAGCCGCTTTCTGGTGGCGATGTAGACTATTGCCCGTTGATCGTACATTCCGGTTTCGTATTCTGGGGAACCGAGGTTCGAATCTTGGCCCGCAGATCGTGCGTGCTCATTGTTCGTGGTTTTCCTCAGTTCCCAAAGGAGCATTATGTGATATATTATTAAAAAGGGCTCAACCGGTTGCATTCTATATTGTTGCTAACTCTCAGTTTATTTGTCACCAGTGCAATTTTATCATATGAACGACAAGGAGCCCTTAAATAAATGTCGGCAATGAATTCAAAAATAAGTTGGACACTACTGTCATAATTTTAAAATTATGTGTTTACTATTGCTGGTTTATTCGTCTTCGTTTTGACTGTGTTTTGGGTTTTGGATCCGTGTAGACTCGTCGGTGGATGCCGACGTTTCGGAGAGATATACGTCTCCATCTTCACTCATGATTATGAAGATAATCCTCAGCGCCCTGAAAACCACAAAATCACTTCATTGTTTTTTTCTTGAATCAATTGGTCCCTTAACATAAATGATTTAAAGCTTTCATGATGATTCACTAATGATGTTAGAGATGTATTTATGAGTATGGTCCTCTGAAACGTCGGCAGCAATCCAAGTTCTAGGTCTGTATAGTGTCAGCACTTAGAAGCAGGAAGATGGCTGTCTACTGGGTTGTGGCGCCATGTAGTGAAATTCCAAAATCTAAAGCCCATGGGGTTAGGTTTATCAATGCGAACACTGTAGGTTGCATTAATACGATTTAAAATTAATGTGCGTGATTTTATCCCGCATTGTAAAATTTTTTTTATTATTATTATTTTCGTAAATCGTGTGACGTGATTTTTTTTCACAGATGTTTTGTTGTAGGAACAAATAACCACAGAAAAGCATGTGTTGATTCAACGTGAAAGATAACAATTTTAACAGTCGACAGAGCAATATATTGACGTTGTTTTTTGTTTTTTTTACTGAATGGCGCTGTGTCTGGGATACTTTTTAAAAACCATCTCCGATTTCCACTGAAACTTTCAATGGCGGTCATTTGCAAAAACTGATACCTTGCAAAGTTGCAGAATTTGCATTCTACAAAGCTAGTAATGATATTTTCTCCTTCACTGAAGTAACAGACATTTTTCTTCCCGTCCAAATGCCAAACGAAATAGCTTTATAAAATAAGGCGTTAACTAACTCTATGGATAAATCCTTTTTGAGAAGCTAATAGTGGCACAGCTAGTCAATAAATTCCCACCCGTTGTGGTTTAAAATAACCCGCTTCTGGTCCCTGTCCTGAACCAGATGAATCCAATCTAAAACTTCCGATTATATTTTATCTAATGCCCATTTTAATATTATTCTCCAAGCTACGCAAGGGTCATCCGAGTGGTTCGTTCTTTCTTTCAGGTTTTGCAACCCAATTGTACTGATCTTTCGGCTTCCTCATTCGTGCTACATGCCCCACCCATCACACCCTCCCTTGTCTTGTAATCGTAATAATACTTTCTGAAGATTATACCACGGCCGCTTCTATTCAAGTTTTTATTGTTTAATCATCAACTATTATTGTCTCCATTTGACAATGCATAACTCATTTATTTTCAGACCAATTTGCGTAACATAAACGTCAGTTACGTCACCTAGACCGTGTGTGTGCACAGAGATCTTATAATCTCATCTCACTTCCAAAATTGTTTGTTTATAGGTGCACCAGGTACTTTTGAATCACCCTGTATAAAACTGAGCCAGCATTTGCGTTGTACCGTTCTGCTTCCCTACGCAGAGTGGAAGTGCCATCCGATATAAAGCGACATGTGTTTGTCTTGTATGGAAAGCATGAAAATGTTTGGGATGATAACGGATTTTCGCTTCTCATTTGTTTCTCTCTCATCAGAAATATATATATATATAGAGCAGCGCGCAGGCAGGCAGTCAGTCAGGGAGATTGTTACTGAATTAAACGGGACAACTTTAGCTCGTCAGTATTAACTTGTGATTAATTGGAATTGCCGCCAAATATAGGCTTTTACATTTGGCAAGGAAGGACTGTGTTGTAATTACAGCGGAATTAATTGACGAAATGTATTCATCAGTAAGATCTATTGCGATCTGGATTTAGACCATTCTCTTTATACAGTACATTACTTAGGTGTTGCCTAGACCACACTCAGGCAAACAGTAATTTCTGCTTCACATTATTACTGCTTAATTCTTAAAGTAACTGATTATACGTGTCCATACTCAGGGTCACATTTTCTGGATCGTTTGTGTACTAATACACAGGACGAGGAACCAAGTGTGTTGCTGGTCCATTAGAAACTCTTTCAGAGCACTGCAAAGCCTGTCAGATAATAAACACATAATTACCATGGTGGTCTAGCGGTTAGAACGCTGGCCTTGTAATCCTGGGGTCTCGGGTTCGATTCCCGGCGGTGCCCGAATTTATAACTTGTGTTGGGCAAGGCCGTGGTCTAGGCAACACGGAGTTTTCCTCCGGGGGCTTCCCCGGTTTCTCCGTGACATCCCAACAATTACTCCATTCACACACACAAGAAGGCAATGGCAAACCACTTCTGGATCATCTGCCAAGAACGTATATGAACAGGTCCCAGTCCGAGAAAAGGATGGAAGGATCCTGTTCATATGGACCTGTCGTCAGACAGAACACTAAATAAATAAAATATAAATAAATCCATGAAGGCCTACTTCAAAGTAATAAGATTGTTTTCTGGGTTGTGACGCTGTTGTGTGTACTCGTGGATAGATAAAAACGTTTCGGAAAGACATACTCTGTTTACTTCGTTCGTTAATGTTTGAAAATTATTTTGAAATTCAAAGGAATTTTGTTACCCTGAATAAGCTCACTGAATTTGTGTGCTCATTTCTGAAACATGTTGTATACGTCGGTTTGCACTTTTACTGCTGCGTTTAAACAAACTTACGTAACACGAAAACATACTTTTGTTCAAAGTTGTAAGCACACGTTAATGAGTTTCGTTGCCTGGAGTTAATATTATAGCATTTCATTTCTATCATCTTGTTTGCTTTTTACGGTTTCATAAAATTTTACAGCAGAGTCTGGTGCTATTCATGTTAGGAGCTTCTACATCGTTACAAGTTGTGCAAAAATAATCAAAACATCTGAAAGCGTCCGCTTATGCTTCTAGCCACACACATCTGGGTTTTTCTTTTCAAATACGATGAATATTATTGTTGCTGAACGTGTACCTTAGACATAACCGTGAAGGAATATCTGGCTTGGCTTATATACGTCATGATGCAGAGCTTTCTTGAAAATGTATTAATTTTTTTATAACACCAAGGAAGATCCTTCTTTCATAAAACTCGAAGTTTCACCTCCTAGACCCTGAGTCAGTCTAGTCCAGTCCACTTCACATATTTCTCTAAGATACATTGTAAACTTACCTTCCGTCTCTATGTAGATAATCTTAGGTATCTTTAAGACAGCCCAGCCCATCTAATTCTCCTTGAGTTAATTTCCCAAATAATAATATGCAAAAGTTCGAGACGGTTCACTCGATGTTGAGAAGTGTTTGAGCAGAGAATTTTGAACCCAGAAGCCCGAGGTGTAATTTTGTAGCAAAAGTTGAAAAACGTAATAGACCAAGACTTTGAGCGAACGATACGAAGAGAAGTCGAATGTTCTGATTGGCTTGAAGAACAGACAACTCGAAATTCGCTAGATTACTTTATCCGTAGTGCAGGTGTCGTCTTCTAAAATTCTCGTGCCTTGAAACCAGTCAGTCATGTTGGTTAGTTAGTCGGTTAATTAATGAAAATTTTCTGATCAAAGCCGTTAATATTTTTATTTGAACGTGTATTTACGATTAAGAGCGCTAATATAATATTTTACACAACAAAATGTTTTAATATTATATAATTTTTACAACACCAATAAACTTCAAACGTTTGTGTATAGACTGTACAAAATAAATATATTCACAGTTTAATCTTAAAACCTGTAAGAAAACTTAAACCAGCTGTGAGGTTTCGATAATTGTCTTAAATTTGTATACAGTAAAAATAAACAACGAAAATTAATTAACCACGAAAATAAGCTAATGGAACCAATTGGTTGTCATTGTTGATTTTCGAGTTAGCAATTTTTTTTTTCTGTTATGAAACAATAAAATGTACTGCGTTGATGTGGCTGCCCGTTGGTTGTATTATTAACCCGAAACAACTGAACGTCGAGTTAGTTAGTTTGTTGTAGAGGTGAAAATTGTCAAACAAAAGGACGTTATTATCATTCTGAATGATAATGGCATGTTCTAAACTCACTGCTGGAAAACGGTGAATAGACAGACATCGGCTACTATCGATTCGTAGCTGCCACGTCACGCAGTGGTGAGCGTTGGTCGAAAAATGTATTTACGTGATCCGGACTGATTTAAATGCAGAAGGCGCTGATGCTTTGTGTTCGTTGTTCTACGCCATTATGATAGGAACTGTCAGAAGTATAATATTTCAGGAACAAGTAATTTAGCCGATTTTCAGTGACTGGCTTACTGTCACTTTCAGAAAATCAGTGTAAATAGAAATTAATAAAGTAGAAATTCGTGTCTGTTAGTGTATGAAATGTTTTATGGTAACTGCACATAATTGAGGAACATTCATATTGGTCAGTGACTATTTATAAGTATAATTTTGTTACTATAATTTTTTTAAAAAAACATAAGAACACGCTTGCCGTTGAATAGGACATTTTAGGTTTACGAGTTGCATAAACCATCTTGCCGGGATTCGAACCCAGGGGAGATTTTTTTTTTCGGATTGTGGTATTCGATTCTGTGATCTCCGAGACGAAACAAACAACTTCTTTCGTCATACTTACTTTCCGATCTACAAAATCCACCCTCACTGGAGCTCTAACCCAGGAAATATTTTGGGGTTAGACTATATTATAAAAATCTCCTCCTATTTTCTGGGCATAAATATGCAGAGTTTGGGTCAAATTAACATAATCTTCGAGATGTAATTGAACATAGTACACTCACAATTTAAATTTTATTTGAAAGATTAATTACTCTATTTATTTGTATACGTAATTATTCTTCTGAATGCCCTAGTTTTCTAAATAATTTAACTGTGTATTAATTATGTATACAGTTACATTTGGATTAGGTTGTGTTGTTTTAGGTCGGATTGGGTTAGGTTTAGTTAGGTTAAGTAAGGTTAGGTTGTTTAGGTTATACTTTATTTATCTCGGAAATATCAAGACACTATTTATTTTTAAAACAGATCCTAAAATTGTGTTTGGTAATAGATTTTCGAAAAAAAAAATGCATCTCGTATTGAGATCAGCTGTTGCTGAATGTAACAAGGTGAAGATGGCTGTCTTCTTGATTGTAGCGCCGCGTAATCTGATAGAAGTTTACCGACGTTTCAGAGGTCCTTGCTGCCTCTATCATCAGGAAGACAGCCATCTTTGGACTCACCGCAGTGAAAACTCAAGTGCTACTTCCTAAAACGTAACTTGACGGTCGGAGGAGATTTACGTGTAGCTTTCGGCTGTAGTGGTTTGTTGCAAATTAATGCACAGTGATTATGTTTCAGATATTCCGATAGCGAGTCTACAGTTGGGTTCATCCCTCAACCCCGACACTATTCGAGAGGGTACGGATGTGTATTTCGACTGTCTGATACAGGCTCAGCCATCAGTTTACAAAGTGGAATGGCGTCACAATGTGAGTACTTGAAGAGCATCACAGCGAATTATTTTCACATCTCTATAAGGGACTCCAAATTAAATCTGCAGGTTGTAATTTGGAAGAAATTGGGTCTAAAATGAAAATGACGTGATTGATAGAATAAAGTAACGCACTTTTAAGAAAACTAATCTTCATGAACAATTCAATGTTTGAAGGCGATTGATGATGTTGGACATTGTTAATGTTGTTTTGGTAAGCAAAAACGACGTTTCGGGAATTGATTAGAATCCAACATAATATGCTGATGTCGAGGTATTTTATGTTGGTCTTCTGAGTTTAACGCCGTGTGGACTTGTAGGCAGATACCAACGTTTTGAGGAACATACTGACTCCATTTTCAAGGAGGCACGGTCTGGCACAAAATCTTGTTAGTAATGGCATTAGTGTTTTGTTACAAACAGAAAATTTAGTATTGAATTAATACATATATGTTTATAGGACTACCTTATTGGGTTAGATACATCTCGGTAGGTCTTACAGCCTGTGCTACTACATTACGAGTAATAAATGCGCATTTAAATAAATACGTGGGCTCTTAATGTTGCAGATATAACATAAAGTATAAACATGTGTGTTATATTAATAGTAGATTTCTGTGTATATCCACGTAAGTGCGCGTTGTGTTGAAGGTATTTCGTTTTATATAAACCAGCCCAAAACTCATTACAGAATACCCTGTTGTGCTGTATTCTTTAAGGTAGACGAAACGGCTAATATACGGCGATGGTAGCAAAGAAACGAAGTGACCTTGAGGTTCAACGTACAGCATTTCTCTCTCCTCGTCATCAATCAAGATCACACGCAGAGTCTGTCGCCGTGGCGACATGACACCCAATCAATTGAAGGCAGATAAATACACGGGACGTACGCATTTTAGATTGGCAGCTAATTTAAAGAGGCTTTAGATCTAAAGAATTATTCTAATAAGGTTAACAAACTTTGGGAATTAACACTCTTGGTTGTGAGACTTCGAGTTTTTACGACAATTGATATGCTCATAGATTCTTAGGGTGATCGGCCTGATGATGGATGCAGCAAGCATATCTGAAACGTCGGTCAGTTTCTATTAGGCAACACCCAAGAAGACAGCCAGCTTAAATATTTATGCCCACGGTAACCATAGCTGCTGTCTGTTATTGTTTTGCTGTAGGGTCGACTGCTTAACCACAACATTGGACAAGGGGTCATCATCAGTAACCAGAGCCTTGTCCTTCAGGGTGTCAGTAGAACCAGCGCCGGAAACTATACGTGTGTGGGCTACAACACGGAGGGAGACGGTGAAAGCAGTTGCTTCTATCTCAACGTGATGTGTGAGTTGCATCACGATATTTAAGGATATAAGGGGGGGAAAGGGTAGCGAGACCCCTACCAGATTCCATGAAAAATTATAATTTGTCAGATGAGCAAAATTTTATAGACCAGTGATGTAATTTTATGAATAGTCAATTGATTTACAATCGTAAACGTGCGGGGTGTGCAGACGCTCCGACGTGTAGGGCGAACCAGACGCGGGTCCACGGAGTCGCGAAGCAGGAGAAGGCCAATATCTCGTGTGAAGTGGATGCCAATCCGCCAGACGTTCATTTCCGATGGACGTTCAACAACTCTGCGGAGAGCCTGGACGTGGCTTCGGCCCACATCGCTCGGTCCGGCACCTCCAGCGTCGTGACGTACACTCCCATGACGGAGCTCGACTATGGAACTCTGTTGTGCTGGGCCTCCAATCGCATCGGCAACCAGCGAGTGCCTTGCGTCTTTCACATCATCGCAGCAGGTCAGTTGCTGTTCTTAAGCGTTATTTTATTATCTAGTTAACGTCATAGAATTAATTTAATTTTAATGTTTTGCGCCTCTCAGAAGATCGGCTTTTGGGGAGGTTCATTTCCGCTTATGATTATTACCGGGCATTAAAATTAGCAAATACGTTCCGTCTTAAGGATAGGTATGTACGATTATCGCAGTGAAATGTGAAAACTTGTTTGAGTCTACGTTTTAACTGCGAACTGTGGCAGTTAAAGGGTTCGCCGTGATCTTGCGGCAACTTCTCCGACTTCTTCGTACTGCAGAGCAGTCTGAACAACTGCTGGCAGGCGTTTCATTAAGAAATAAGAGCTGAACTTTCAAAATAAGTAAACCTTTGTTTTCTTTTCAGTCCGCGTTATTGTATTTACCTTCTGCTATTTCCTTGTTTTCATTTTTCTTTCTTTCTCTCTTGTTTTTATTTCCTTCTCGTGTTTTATTTGTGCCTTTTCGGATCTTATTTTTTTCGTTTATGTATTGCATTTTTATATTAATTTATCTGTCTCACTTTTGAACCTTGAATTTACAAATAATTACGCTGAACTCTGCGATTCGTGCAAGATAGTTATAAAACTCTCGTAATTTTTTCATCATTCGCGACATCCTGCAGCTCACAAAACTAAGCAGACGTCATGTCGCATCTCTATCTAACTCGTTACATTGAACTTCATTTCCCACTCTGAGGGATCAGCACATTTCTGAGCTGTTAGATGACGCAATCGAAAATGTGACAATATTTGAAGATAAGAGTCAACTGAAATAATTATAAAATTTCTTAATCTGAGCTTTATAATTCGTATTCTTCACCTGATATTATAAGGTAATTAAAATGTGTATGCGATGCACAGAATATGTAGCACGCATATGAAATATGAGATAGTCATAAAATCTAAAGGAAAAAGACCACTTGGAATAATCTTGCATAGATTGGAAGGTAAAATTAAAATAAAGATGGGTGTCTTCTGAGGTATTTTGTTGTAGGCTGAAATATTGGTTAGTAACTATCAGCTAATCTTCTATTGATATCTATCAATGCAACATCTCAGAAAACTGTCTTCATATTTGTCGCCTTGAGAACCCTAAATCCGATAAAATTAAAATTGGTTTCGGATGAATCAAATTTTGAGGAATAGAATGGATTGAACTGGCCCATGATTGGGTCCAATGGCAGGATTTTATGAATACAGCAATGAGTAATTTTCTGATCAGCCGAACGATTATAAACATCGCAAAACAATATCCCTAAGTACGGTATTAGTTAGTTGCTTGCTTCCGTAACGAATTGAGTAATTAATTAATTATCCACTCGGTCGAGTAATCGAACAAGTGTATCGCTTTCCAGGTCGACCAGATCAGGTATACAACTGCACCGTTGCCAACACATCCATGACGTCATTCTCAGTGCACTGTACGCCAGGTTTCAACGGCGGAATGGAGCAGTCGTTCCTTATGGAAGTCAGGGAGTCTCAGAGCCAAGCGCTGCGTTCCAATTTCTCCTCAGCGGTTCCCAGGTTCAGTGTAACAGGACTCCAACCCGGATCCCACTACCAAGCCTGCGTGTATTCCTTCAACCACAAGGGCCGGAGCGAGCCCGTCGTTGTCCAGGCATCCACGCTAAGACTCCCAGAGAAACAGCTCACCGCAGAGAAAGGTACGTGGCCTGTTTATTAATTTTTTATTATTATTTATCCTTAATTTATTTCTATCTGTTTTATTTTCAGCGCCTTGAATAGATCGCGAAGAAGAAACTTTGCCCCCTTCTTCGATTTAAATATGTTACCCACATGACATTGTTGCGTCAATACGTAACAGAAAGGAAAATTTTCTTTGAGCAGACTTGAGCTCCAGCTGACCTGTTTTATTGTTGCGTTGTACGTGGAATTTTTGAGCCATCTCGTCTTTATGATTGATTAAACACTGAATCCAGATCGGGCTTCAGATATTTGTTGAAGTTTCATACGCCATCTCCACAATTCCAGTGGTCTGAGCCTACGACAATCTCCTTAAAGACTATTGACTTGTCATCGTCTTCTTCTATGGCTCTCCGGCCCGTATTCGGTCCACGGCCTCCTCAGTTCTTCTCTTCCGTTCGGTCCTCTGTTACGTCCGTCTGTCCCGAGGCTTTTGATCGAGGTTTCGAAACATCGCGGTGCGCCAGTCGACATAGGCGACCCGGAGTAACAGCTATCGTCAACATTCGTAATTACCCGCTACGAGGGTCAGAAGTAAAATTTCCCTTCAGGGCAGGAAAGGAAAGTTAAAATAACCTACTGACGTCAGGTCGATAGGGACACGATGATTTAGATTGTAACAGTATTAGCTGTTTAATTACGTAAATTCTGCACAAATATGTAAACTTGCCTGTATTGTACGTATTCTCCCCGCGGCTGAATTTGATTATAATTAGTTTGTGTAACTGCATTAACATTATTCAGTAGTCATCTGCTCACGTGTGTCGAAATTGTTGGGCTGCTAAAATGTTTTATGCCTGAATTGATTTAAGAGAAGATCGAATTTGTGTGTGAGATTTCTTTTCTGGCATCGAGTAAGCTAAAAGTAAACAGCGTGCAGACTCCGAGGACTGTGGGGTCTCTTCCCCCCGTTGTCGAGTGTAAATATGAAAGAACGTGTCGAGAAACGCAGAGGGCACGTGACTGAAGGCAGGAACTCGGTCACTAACTTTTGGGGAAAGGTCGTAAGACACGCACCTGCTGTCAGTGAAATGCATCACTTCGTGTCGTGAGGTCAGCGACTTCTTTAAACTAATAATTACACGCGAAGAGATTAATTTTCTCGCGTAGTTTTGAGTTATATTTTGTCGAATTTAAAATCCACATTTCACCTGTCACCATGTTTGCAAGTCACGCGTATTAAAAAATATTTATAATGGAAAATCTTGCAAGATCCGGACACAGATGGAATTTAAATGGGTGTTGAAGACTTAGTGCGTAAAAGAGTGAAGTGGACTGAGCTGGCTCAGCGCGGGTTCAAAATGTCTCTTGTTGTAAGCACGGTGACAAACATCTGAGATTTTGAAGATTTCTGTCTTCTGGGTTGTTGCGCTGTGTAGTCTGGTCGATGTTAACCAACGTTTCGGAGGTCATACTGCCTCCGTCATCAGGACGATTAAAAATATGAAGATTTCTGTCTTCTGGGTTGTTGCGCTGTGTAGTCTGGTCGATGTTAACCAACGTTTCGGAGGTCATACTGCCTCCGTCATCAGGACGATTAAAAATATGAAGATTTCTGTCTTCTGGGTTGTTGCGCTGTGTAGTCTGGTCGATGTTAACCAACGTTTCGGAGGTCATACTGCCTCCGTCATCAGGACGATTAAAAATATGAAGATTTCTGTCTTCTGGGTTGTTGCGCTGTGTAGTCTGGTCGATGTTAACCAACGTTTCGGAGGTCATACTGCCTCCGTCATCAGGACGATTAAAAATATGAAGATTTCTGTCTTCTGGGTTGTTGCGCTGTGTAGTCTGGTCGATGTTAACCAACGTTTCGGAGGTCATACTGCCTCCGTCATCAGGACGATTAAAAATATGAAGATTTCTGTCTTCTGGGTTGTTGCGCTGTGTAGTCTGGTCGATGTTAACCAACGTTTCGGAGGTCATACTGCCTCCGTCATCAGGACGATTAAAAATATGAAGATTTCTGTCTTCTGGGTTGTTGCGCTGTGTAGTCTGGTCGATGTTAACCAACGTTTCGGAGGTCATACTGCCTCCGTCATCAGGACGATTAAAAATATGAAGATTTCTGTCTTCTGGGTTGTTGCGCTGTGTAGTCTGGTCGATGTTAACCAACGTTTCGGAGGTCATACTGCCTCCGTCATCAGGACGATTAAAAATATGAAGATTTCTGTCTTCTGGGTTGTTGCGCTGTGTAGTCTGGTCGATGTTAACCAACGTTTCGGAGGTCATACTGCCTCCGTCATCAGGGCTGGTTGTCCGTCATCTCGCCTCGGCTTTTGCGTTTCAGAGCGACCGCGCCCCGGGTTTCGCTTCACGCCCACGATGAACATGCTGATCGGGGTGGTGGCAGCACTGTTGGTCCTAGCCGTGGTGGTCGGTTTCGTGCTTCGCCTCCAGTGTTCGCGTAACGAAGGTCGTCGTAAACGCCATAAAGCCGCCGCTCAAGAGCAGAGGATGTCCGGTTCCGGGGGCGGAGGCTCCGGAGGTGACAAGGGTGGCAGCAGCCCCATCAACAAACTTGACCCCGGTGGTACGGAGAGCGGGGACAGTGACGAGAAGAATCCTGACGTCATACCGCAGCCTAGCTCTGGTAAGTTGTGCCTCAGGATTAAGTCCAAAACCTCGTCCAGATTTCCTGTGGTTTTCCTCAGTCCCTCCAGGCAAGTGTCGAGGTAGTCACTTAAATTAGACCGCCATTATTTCAACAGTACGTTCCAACAATAGTTCATTGTCGCGTGTTCCGAAAGTTTTCCCGTAGGCTGCCTCGTTTTCAGATGAGAGAACGATGTCAAAATTGATTTAAGGAATAAATTGGATTAATCTGGCTCAGGATAGGGGCCGATGACCTGCTGTTGTGAACTCGTTCATGAATATTTCTGCTGGAAACTTCTAGACTAGCTGAGCAACTGTCATATTTTCAAGGACTCATTTTAATGAAGTGCGTTAATTAACTAGTTAAAAACAGCGCAGTAATCAAATGAGCTCTGTATTAATATGTTCAGTAGTTGACAACGAAAGCGTATTTGACCTGTGAAATCGCAAATTAACAAATCTAATTTCGAATCTGCGTAAACTAATTCTATAATTTCTATGATGACGTAACAACAAAATATAATCTGCTGCCGAACAATAGTAAGTAAGCTCAGTGGACACTTAAAATAAATGACACTGTATTACGGAGTACGTCGTGTTTTCGAGCGTACGAATCACCGAGTGCTTTCAGAGAACGTTCCCGATCAGCCATGTCCAGTAGCACAGAACACGACGTGAAATCGACGTTGAAGTACCATCGCTGGAATCAAACATGGCCTACAGTGAATTAATGACACTTTTATTTTTGTGGATTATTTGGATCCGGAAGCAATCGTTGTTGATGGAACATGTTGCCTGCAGTTACACATTATTACTTTGTCCGTACCTGTAATAAATTTGTTCGTATAGGCGTCGTTGTGGCAGTCGATTGGACGACAAAAATTTCAAACAGCCGTTATTGCTTCCTATATCGTCATGATTCAACTGTCAGGCCTAAGGGATCGTCAGTTGAACAAAAAATTGTCGGCTTTCGTGAAATTCTAACGTTCATAAAATCGCGCCAAGGAACTGCCCTAATCTTCAATATTTAAGTTTCTTAACTACTCGGTGAATCTCTATGAAATTTGGTGGTGGTGTACGTAGTCTTGTAAATTTATACTCTTTTAATATTCTTAAGAATGATTTTTATATTTAATACTAGCAGAGTGTACAAATGGTTGCATTTCATATCAATTTTTTTTGTCCAAAAGCCCGTCATAGGTCTCGCCATTTCATACGTATCGTTCCATATCATATGTGGAAATTCATTCAAAATTCATTTTTTTTAATGTTTAAAGAGATATACATGAAAAAGTATTTCTTAAATTACGTTTGCTGAGAAAGTATTTGAATATTCGCGTGTTGAGTGTCCGTACAGGATTTAATAGTAAAAAAAGTCTTACGTACGTATACATTTAGAGCCACACGCCATATGTTTTATATGACGAAATGGTGAATACGTATTTCGTATTGACAATCTCTGACGTCATCCGGAATACTCTAAACAAAACCCGTGTGTCTATAGACAGCGATAAGCAACTTGGAGCAGAAGAATTTAATAACAGGATTCTACGGTGTAGGGACACGCGTCTCGAGATTCGCGTGTCTTGATCGAATCTTGGAAACGGATATGACAACATTAGAGCCGTCGGAGTGTTCCTTCTCGTTCCGTCAGCGGCTTCACCGTCGAGGAACACTGGCGTCTCTTCCCCCCCCCCCCAAGAGTGATATTGCCCGAATTTGGCTTTTTCGATTTCCGCCCTGCTTACGAAGATAACAGGAGAACTCGTAAGACTTTAACAGTTTACTTCTGTGGTATTTCCTAACTTTACTGCCAATAATTTCCAGAATAACGTATTTTTTTTATTTCAGTTTTTACTTCATTAAAACGTTGTAAGCTCTGTTTGTAAATCTTAGCAACACGCACTGTAAGAACAGAATTTCACGAAACGTCGCCTGTATTGAGAGAGGTTAGACACCAGTTCTGTAAAATATCGCTAAACTTTTAAAATACTTGTACGTCATACGTTTGATCGCTACAGACTTAAGAAAAATATTAAAAATGATTTTTTTTTTTGATTTGTAGGTGACTTTCGAAAAATACCTGGTAATGTTTCTACAACCATCTTTCCGCATATAAGACGCCCAAAACGTCGGGGCCGATTTCGATTAAATTTGGTATATAAGAACTGCAGTACACGCTGTCCGTCAGTTAGTTTGGCTAGTTCCTTCCTGTTCAGTTTACATAAAACTGCTTATTCTGAATCTTTGAATGCGTTTTAATTAAATGTTGTTCATGCCAGTCTCAAGAAAATGTGCGAAGTGAAAAATAATCGTCACCTTCCGATGTCGTAACGCGGCTAAAATTTTGACACAGTCCGCGGGTGCAAGAATGGAACGTAGTTAATTCAGTGCTGGACCAACGAGGCGGCCATATGTGTTTTGGGAACGCTATGGGGG